CTTAAGGGTCTTGAAGCTAGGGAAAACAAGAGTTGTAAGATGTTGCTCGCCGGTTAGGATTGGAATGTCGTCTGCGGCCGAGAACGTAGTATAAGTAGGCTCGTATCGCAAGAGTATATGGGCGGCTCTCCCTTGCTTCTGTACGTTTGGACGGCCAAAATACTTAAGCGCAGTCTTAATTTCCGCAAGGACTGCCTCGTCGGCCGAAGTCAAAATATTCTTCAACTTATTACCTGCATAAACAAAGGATTAGACTAGGAGAAAAAGGCGAGTAAAAGAAAGATCAATGAACACGAGGAGTTACACGGCAACCTGTTCACCCCTCCGTCTAGGTATAGGGTCTAGGTGATCTTCGCCTTCGCCGAATTCCCAGTTGCCTCGGACATTGACCATCACATCATTAACTCATTTCCTAGAGTTGGCAAGCATGGTTACCATGTGGCGGTCAGTGTCCTTGGCCCTGAGAAAGTAGCGCCCGTGTCGACCGGAGGATTTGGCTAAAGCATAGCAATGCCGAATGGCCAAAATGCCAAGGTTGATCCTAAGGCGCCGGTTCAGCTCTACGATTCCCATGATGATTTGAAAAAAATTCACATTAGGTTGGGAAGGAATCAGACCCAAATGGCGGAGGACGGCCCTAAGGAATGGGTGTAGGGGAAAACGGACTCCGCCCTCCGCAATGGATAGGAGAGGAAAGACGATTATATTTTGATCTTCCCTCTCCATATCAAGAGTATTGTCCGTCGCTAGAGATAGATGGACATTATCAGGGATAGAAAAATGTCATCGGAACCCCAAAATACGGCCCCCGGAAAGGAGGTCTTTCAAATGCTTAGCCATTCTAGTAAGGACTCAAGGGTATGCCAAATCTAAAATAAACACAGAAAATAGGATTACAAAGAGAAGAAAAGAAAACTTACAAGAGGCAAAGGAGACAAGGAGAGACGGGGAGAAGTTGCGGAAGACGTGAATCAGAAAAGGGATACCGACTGGCAATCCAGGAGGCTCAAATATTTGAAAAAGCATGCATTCGAAAGGACTGGAGTTTCAAATCGTAATAAATGTGAGAGGTGCACGAATGAGGCGGGAAAGTATAATGATGACCGAAAGGCGTTTGTGTTCTGACATTCACATTGGGATAGGTGAAGCCGCCTAACTTTTGTTTCACTTGACTTTTCAGATTCGAAACCAAACACACCAGTTAACTACCGTAAATGGGGAGTTTGGGGGGCAATTGTGGGAGCTGGATAAATGGCAGAATCAGAAGCGTACGCTCTGGAAAACAGATATTACTCGATTCTATCCTGCACGATCAGGAGGCTGAATACAAGAGATAGGCCGAGTATCTATTGAACTATGGAGCCGAGTAAATAAGCGGATAATGAGTGAAAAGTGGGCCAGGCCCCGAGGCCCAGGAGACGAGTATAAATAAAGGAACAACAGACAAAGAAAGGTATGTGAGAACTACTACACTTAACTTAAAATACAAGTAATCCGGAGAGTAGAGACTGACTTGCTCGTCGGAGTGCTAATTCTGGCTCCCCCTACCGGAGTGTTGATTCCTTTTCAAGGGGCTAGCTGAGGATCACAAGCGTCCCCCAGGACCAGAAGAGTATTTCCAAACCACTTCTCCACAAGTTTGTTTTGTAATAATTAGTTTAATTAGTTTAGATTAGCTAGTTAGCTTTTTATTCGGACCCTCCTGCGAGAGGGTGTATTGTTGTAATAAGCGTGCATGTGTGTGATGCATGTCTTCTAACCCCCATTTCTTTCTCCCTTTTACTTAACCGCTTACAATGGTTAGTTTTAGGTCATATTTCGATTAGCATACCTTATGCTTGCATGCGTGCATCCATTCATCTGTATTGCATGCACCGGGCTCGGCGCATCATACTAATTGCATTGTATTTTCAATACATTTTACTTGAATACATGTTCAACAGCATGTTATCAAGTTGCATTTTACATGACATTCTAGAATAGCCGAGCCTATTTTAGTTGCATTCTTGCATGTGTTGCATTAGCCATCTTAACATGAACTAGGATCATGCATTGATTTCTAACTAGTTCTTTGTTTTGGCTTAGAGAACACCGTGAGTGTTTACGCTTTAGTATACTACATGTGTGTTATTGACTGCCATGTTAAGCATGCTTGCCATGAGGCTAATTTCTTATTTGATTAACTGCCTGAATGCCTGTGGGTGAAGGTTGGATTACTTGAATTGGAACAATTCATTAAAACATGATTTAGCCTACTTGCGAATAGCAAACTTCAAATTATTTTCACAAATGAACATGCAATGTTTTGTTCCAAATTAGGTAATCTAGTCTATAATTGTATGCTGTACGCATCACATAGTAAGATTAGCTAATTAACAAGAATAAAAACACATGTGTTTTCAAAAATAAAATATCATACTTAGTACAGGCCGATCTTTGATCGGGCGAGCGGGGGTGCTCATTACATGACTTTCCCCTCTCATACCCAAGTTCCCGAGCTGAGGCAACTTTGGTGATGACTGACACGTGGCCTTAGGCACAAGTCAGGGTTTCCTAAATTCCCCCAAAAATAAAATATTTAGGTGGCGACTCTGTGTCTGGCAAAGCAGTCCATGTTTGGCACTTCTTTATAAAACTTAGTTTTCCAAAACGTTTTTCTGAATTTGGACTCTTTGGTGATTTATCGGTCTTGCAATGCACTTTGCGAGATTAGATTCAGAACCGTGACATTGAGTCTGAACTGTAGTAGCTAGAGAACAAAACGAGATTTCGCGCCCTCGCGCGCAGAGCTCAAGAGTCCTCGGGCGCGTCTACAGTAGCTTTTTCCAGGATTTGTGCTCAAGGACACTGCGCCGTAATGAACTTGAGAAATTAGAAGAATGTATAGTACACATATTATGTAAGCTTGAAAAGATCTTTCCTCCAGCCTTCTTTGATGTGATGGTTTACTTGGCCGTTCACTTGCCGCGTGAGGCTATTCTTGGAGGACCGGTGCAATATGGATGGATGTACTAGATTGAAAGGTAATTGTTAAATTGAAAGGTTCGTAATTATATGTTGCATGTGTAACCTTGCTCTTAACTAATTCTCTTTTCAAGGTTTCTCGGAGCTTTAAAAAGTTTGTTACAAACCGAGCTCGAACAGAAGGTTCAATCGCAGAGGCTTACATTGTCGAAGAGTGCATTACTTTTTGTTCAATGTATGTTGATAGGATCGAAACAGTGCATAATCAACCCGAATGAAATCAAGATCGTGGCGAACGTCACAAAGGGTTGATTGTATTCATAGAAACTACCCCTCCTATTGGCCTAATCAGAAGGGATGCTGATATGTCACAAGAATATCGTGATATGGCTCATTGGTTCTTGTTAAACAATAGCCCCGAGATAGAGAAGTATCTAGAGTATGTTTTTCATTTAAATATGTGTATTCTTAGCTTTGTTAATGTAGTTAGCAGTGCATAATAATCACATTCTTTTGAGTAGGATACACAAAAATCTATTACGAACTCCATCTGACCAAGACATAACCCGTATACAACAAGAGTTTCCTTAGTGGTTCAAAGAGCGGGTAAGGCATTTTCAATTTTAAGACATGATTAAAAATTTGTATAAGATTTGATCATTTATTAATTTATTTTTACTATCTTGATGTACGTTATATGTGATTGTAGATAAATATATTGAGATAAGAAAAGTCACCAGAGGTAACCAATGACTTATGGTCGTTAGCAAATGGCTCGAATTTGCTAGTAAAAGAGTACTCAGGTTGCATAATCAATGGCGTACGGTTTCGTACAAGAGAAGTAGACAATTGCCGTAAGAGTCAGAATAGTGGTGTGCTTACGGAAGGGGATCATGAGGGAGTGACGCATGAATTTTATGGTCACTTGTGCAATGTTTGGGAATTAGAGTACATGTGTCATAACAAAGTTGTATTGTTCCAGTGTGAATGGTACAACACAGGAAACACAGGTCGAAGTAGAACATTGCAAACTGATGATTATTGCATAAGTATTGATGTCATAAGTCGGTGGTATCAACACGATCCTTTTATCTTGCCTAGCCAGGCTAAGCAAGTCTTTTACCTAAATGATACCAAATGGGGACAACCTTGGCAAGTTGTTCAACGAGTGCAACATAGGGGTGTCTTTGATGTACTAGAGGTAGGTGATGGAGAATCATTACATGAACCAGAAGAAAACGATGTGTTCCAACAAGAAAATATTACCGATGTTGTTCCAATTGACATCGGCCCTAATGTTCAATGTTATAGAGATGGTATTAAAGAAGAAGTTGTTACAAGGGTTAGGTCATCTGATGAAACAATGATAGAGAATAGAGCTGACAAACAAAATGAAGAGTGTGACGAATCTGATGTGGATTACGATATGGATCTTGATGTAGACTAGGATTTTAGTTATTTTGCACTTTCTATGTGAACATTGTTCTTAATTAATGTAGTTGAATTTCAATTGTGGGGTTCATCCATTGTTATGTAGGCTTATCGTTGATTGGTCATGTTATGTGTCTGATGGCTTTATAATTAATTTGTTCTATGATAAGTAAATGGTAAAAACAAAAATCATCCATCTCACTCTAGCCATATTTCAATGATTTAGAGCCTATATGACATCCGCTTGTTGAGATTTTTGTTGCTTTATGCTTTATGTATAGAAATATATAATTATCTTTTCTTTACATCTAATGTTCAATTATGCGTATCCACCAAAAAAATGTTCAATTTTGCTTTATAGTTGGGCAAAATGGACGCTACAAAAAAACAATTGACCAAACCAAGTATCGCAACTAAGAAGGTAATGAACTATGAGAAACAAAGAATGAAGAATATTAATAAAAACCGTGAGAGAATGAATGCTCTAGAAGTGAAGAATATAGCAACTTATTTGAAGGCTGCGGTTCAACATAAGAAATTGAGGAAGGAAAAACAAATACCAATTGAGGAAAATGACGATGATTATCGACCATCAAAGGCTGAAGATGGCAGTGACACTAAATCCTATGATTCGTTTGAGCATGAGGTACTATATATTTATGCATTGCGAAATATATTCTTTCTTGTTACTTTCAATTCATACACACATAGACATGTATATCTTTCTACATATATTCAATTTTATTATGTTATTCAACTGTTAGAGATACCATCGAGAGCCCGTTCACAATCTCATCATGAGGCATTGACCCATGCATCAGAAGAAGGGGATACCTCTTCACGTCCTGAGGTGGCTAGCCATCCACCACCACCTCTCAATGTGGAGCCTCAACTTGAGGTGACTGCTGGTAATACTATTGGTAAGACACACACTTTATTTACATTGATTTGAGATCTTAATTAAATTTGTTCACATACTATTTCAATATTATGGCTTCATAATATCAGCTGCTAAGCGTGTTCGTGGCCTGACTCGAGGCAAAGAGGTTCAAGGCCTTGTTGATAGAGATATTCAAAGAAATTTGAAACTATGTTTTTTTGCATGGTGAAAAGTTGAGCAATATTAAGATGTTAGATGAATAACGTTAATTAAAATTAAGCTTTCACACCTTCTGATATGAATGTTTCTTTGATTGTCAGCTGCTAGTGTAGCTTCTCAATGGTTGGAACTCCTTCATCAAGACACTAAAGGGCATCTTGCTGGTAATGTACTGCTTATCAGTGAAGATTTTACTCATCTTTGATTAGAACTCCTTTATACATGTATGGTTATGTACTGCTTTCTGTACTTGCAGCATTTCGACGCAGTAAGAAGAGAGATTAATCTGTGATTCATACAGAATTGCCTTTGCTAATGTCACAGGAATTCTCATGTAATCAAAAGAATGATCCATATGTTATGAAAAATTCTGCTGCTGGATGTGCTCTAACAATGCGAGTGTGCATGTTGACGTGCATCAAGCTAGATGGAGTGCCCTATTTGAACAGATGGATAAACGCCTTTCTGAAGAAAAAAAACAACTGGTAGTCTCTAGGAGAATGGTCTGTTTGGATATATTCTAAAGGTGAAAGCCCGTAGTCTAAGCTTTAGTCATGTAGGACGGGTGCATGTGCATCATCATGAAACTTAAAATATATTTGAATTTGAATTTGAACTCCTCCAACAAATGACTTAGGTCAAATCAGATCATTATTCACTTGATTCACCAAATTTTTTAGTAGATTACATGGACGAGGTGAAGTAATTCTAAGTCCTCTAGCATGACAATCACTGATGTACCAGAGGTAGGCGATGGAGAATCATTACATGAACCAGAAGAAAACGATGTGTTCCAACAAGAAAATATTACCGATGTTGTTCCAATTGACATCGGCCCTAATGTCCAATGTTATAGAGATGGTGTTGAAGCAGAAGTTGTTACAAGGGTTAGGTCATCTGATGAAACAATGATACAGAAAAGAGCTGACAAACAAAATGAAGAGTGTGACGAACCTGATGTGGATTACGATATGGATCTTGATGTAGACTAGGATTTGTAGTTATTTTGCACTTTCTATATGAACATTGTTCTTAATAAATGTAGTTGAATTTCAGTTGTGGGGTTCATCCACTGTTATGTAGGTTTATCATTGATTGGTCATATTGTGTGTCTGATGGCTTTGTAATTAATTTGTTCTATGATAAGTAAATGGTAAAAACAAAAATCATCCATATCACTCTAGCCATATTTCAATGATTTAGAGCCTATATGACATATCCACTTGTTGAGATTGTTGTTGCTTTATGCTTTATGTATAGAAATATATAATTATCTTTTCTTTACATCTAATGTTCAATTATGCGTATCCACCAAAAAAATGTTCAATTATGCTTTATAGTTGGGCAAAATGGACGCTACAAAAAAGCAATTGACCAAACCAAGTACCGCAACTAAGAAGGTAACGAACTATGAGAAACAAAGAATGAAGAATATTAATAAAAACCGTGAGAGAATGAATGCTCTAGGAGTGAAGAATATAACAACTTGTTTGAAGGCTACGGTTCAACATAAGAAATTGAGGAAGGAAAAACAAATACCAATTGAGGAAAATGATGATGATTATCGACCGTCAGAGGCTGAAGATGGCAGTGACACTGAACCTATGATTCGTTTGAGCATGAGGTACTATACATTTATGCATTGTGAAATATATTCTTTCTTGTTACTTTCAATTCATACACACATAGACATGTATATCTTTGTACATATATTCATATTTTATTATGTTATTCAGCTGTTAGAGATACCATCGAGAGCCCGTTCACAATCTCATCATGAGGCATTGACCCACGCATTAGAAGAGGGGGATACCTCTTCACGTCCTGAGGTGACTAGCAATCCGCCACCACCTCTCAATGTGGAGCCTCAACTTGAGGTGACTGCTGGTAATACTATTGGTAAGACACACTCTTTATTTACATTGATTTGAGATCTTAATTAAATTTGTTCACATACTATTTCAATATTATGGCTTCACAATATCAGCTGCTAAGCGTGCTCGTGGCCCGACTCGAGGCAAAGAGGTTCAAGGCCTTGTTGATAAAGATGGAAAGCTTAGCGTGCCTATCCCTCCAGAATTTCGTGCACCGGTAGGGGACTATGCCTCAAAACTAGCCTCAAAGATTGGTGTAGAAGTGCGAACTCGTTTACCAAATCCAAGTGTTCGTAGGTGGAAGTATGTTGATGCCTCCGTTAAGGAGGCGATGTTTCAACGCTTGAATGTAAGTTCGTTGTCTACTTATAGGAGATTTTACTCATTTTTATAATAGGTTAGAAATCTTAATTATTTATTGTAATTATTTTATTTTTTATAAGAATTATCTATGACTTATCTATTTTTTGCAGGATCAATTTGATTTACAAGGAGACCCTGTTGATATAGAGAAGGCAATGAACACAAAATTTGGTCGGAGATTGAGTAACCATACCTATAGGCTGCACAAACAATTCATGGAGCTGAAGGAGGCTAAAGGGGAGGAGTATGCAAGAAACCACCCACCAAAGAATGTCGATCCTACCAAGTGGATAGATCTTATTGATAAAAAGTGGAACACTAAAGAATTTCTGGTAACATTTTCATCTTTTTTATTATATTAGCGAAGAAAGAATTTGATTAGAACAGGGAGAGATTCTAAAACAACTAGAAAGAACACAATCAATTTGCTGTGAAATTCCATATGTATTCTTTTCCCTTTATCTTCTAGGCATGTAAGTGGAACATAATAAAAACCAAATAAGTGAAAAAATGAGAAAGGGAAACTATTAAACATGGATTGGAAGGCTCGCATAATAGGAGATTAATTTATGGTTCCTTAAAGTGCATCTTTCACATCATAGAATAAAGAACTAAGATTTCAGTTTCTATGATTGTATTAATTTTCTGTTTGTTCTTGGGTTTGGTCTGAAGTTTCATGATAATGGTAAGCAACTAGCTAAGTAACTAATATAGGGTATTGAGACAGAACTTTAGATTTGATAGAGTTGCGGAAGAAAGAAAGGGTTATGAGTTTGGTATCAGTAATTGTTCCATATATTGTGAAATGTAAATGGATTTTTTCACAATCTATCTTGCCCATGCTTATATGCCCCCTATTTGTGAACGGTGTAAATTACTCGTTTTTCTTTTTTCACCCAGAAAAACCATCTTATGATGAAATCTCAACAAGTCCTCTAATCTATTTTTCACAGAATTGAATGAAACTAGTGAATAATTTGAAATATCTTTTAAGTTGAAATGATATATAGGAAAATGATAGAGAGGAACAATGCAATTTCTTTATTATCAACCATTAAATTTGTTTTACTAGTGATACATTTCATTGTTATATTGGTTCATTATTCCTTACAGGAACAATCAAAAGCCAACATATTTGTCTTACTAATGATACATTTCATTGTTATATTGATTCATTATTCCTTACAGGAACAATCAAAAGCCAACATATTTGTCTTACTAATGATACATTTCATTGTTATATTGATTCATTATTCCTTACAGGAACAATCAAAAGCCAACATATTTGTCTTACTAATGATACATTTCATTGTTATATTGATTCATTATTCCTTACAGGAACAATCAAAAGCCAACATATTTGTCTTACTAATGATACATTTCATTGTTATATTGGTCATTCTTCCTTATAGGAACAATCAAAGGCCAACATCGCGAACAGAGAAAGGATGTATACAAAACATAGGTGTGGTTCTAGGTCAATCCCTGTTAGAGTAGAAAAACTGGTACGTATCCTTGCACTTTCAGAATTATATTAGATTCTTAGCTTTATTTATTGAATATTTGGTCTATCGAATTAGGCACGAGAAAAGAAGATGCTACCTGATCTAGCAGAGTTGTACAAGGAAACTCACTATAATGAGAAAACACAT